AGGAACATGCAGGAACATGTGAGGAACATGCAGGAACATGTACAGACTTAAGTCCATGTCTGAAAACAGCTATAAATGCATTTTCTGTTTGAAGTCACAAGATGAACATTGTGTTTGTTTCATGGTCAAATAAAGACTTCACTTCACGACCCTGATCTACATGATGGATATTTAAATGAAGGTGGATAGTAAACAGCAGGTCATCTCCTGCAATGTTAAATTACTAATGAATTGGATTTAAAAAGAAAGAGGACCCAAAGAGTTACCCTGTGGGAGCCCACACAGAACTTCAGTTATTGGATTTTCTAAGACTGACCTGCAGCCACTTCACTGAATCCACCAGAACCATTGAGCCTGTCCTACCTGTCGCTGTCTGCAGGTGCTGATCCCGTTTACGGAGAACGGTTCGGTGGAGGTGGAGCAGAACGTGGACTTGCCCGACTACCTGCCAGAGGACGAGAGTCCCTCTCAGGAACCTGACAAGGCGGTGACCCGGGTGGGATCCAACCAGGACGGGGCCAGCTGGCTCGGGGCCGCTACCAACTTCCTTTCTCGCTCCTTCTACTGGTGACCTCGCAGAACCAGCCCCGCCTCCTCTCAGAACCAAAACCTACCAGCTGCCAAATGTCAGCTCTGTCGTGTGATTCAAAAACTGAGAACTGAAAACAGACCCGTGATCCGTCACTTCAACGTCACGATGAAAACGTACTCGTGTCAAAGTCGAGAGGAGACGATCTCCAACAACCTCATCGTGGTTTCGAAGTTCCTGCTGGAGAGCCGTGAAGAACTCCATGAACTGGTCCATATGCCCCAACGAGTTACAATATGGAGTCTCTTTTACCTTTTTGTTATTTATTTGAGCAGACACCATCTCTCCTGCAGTTTGAGGTTGAGTCAGCTGGTTCCTCACTTCCTGTCATCCGCAGACGTCCTGCTCCAGCTGCAGCTCACTGCGGTTTTCTCTCATCTTTCCATAAGTCTGGAGAAGAGTCCAGAAGTCACATGATCAGGAAACAGGAAGTAAAACTTAAAAATCTTGCACCTGTAACAGAAGCTCCTCTGGCTCTGGTATCAGTGACGGTGGCTTGAGTTTCCCGTGAACAACCGATTGTGAACTTTTGTTGTTCAGTGAAGAATGGAAATGGCCGACCCTCCCAGGATGTTACTGCGTTCATGTGTGGACAGAGTGTTAGCGGTGAAAGGTGACCACGATCAGGGAGTTCAAGGGAACAGACTGGCGTCCGTTATCTCGTCTTCAGTGACAGGACGGAGCTTTTCTCTCTTTCTTTCTGATTCTGAACACTCTCGTATAAATGCCTTTAAACTGAACTTTACTTTTCTCACTTCCTGTTGACCAGGCACTGAACTCTGTTTAGAGGAGCCATGTTTTATTTGACCTTCCTTCTCTTCAGTGACATCAAACAGCCACAAGGGTTTTGACCATTTTGCACATTTGAACCTGAGGTTGATGTTTTTTACGTAGAGTAGAAATCTTTGTTTTTAACACTGGACCATGTTACACAGGATTCTTCCCCATACTGACGTCATCCACCTGGGTAATCAGATTACTATCAGTCTGAACACATGACAGATTGTCAGTGAGCCTCATGTAGGAACCGTTCATACAAACAGGTTTGTTGTTTAACGGTGCGTTTGAGTCATTTAGGAGAAGTTGCATCATTCACCAATTTTCTTGCATTTTGTGTTTTCCTACAGTTATGAACAGAATTTGAGTTTTCCAGACTGGAGTATGGACGCCCAACGATTCTGGTCGGGTCACCGTGTCGAGGACCTGTACTTGATTTTCTTTTTACACTACACGTGTCTCTGATCAGGTAAAGCATCAGGTTCAGACAGAAAAGAGAACGCCTGTCCGATTTCTGTCGGCTCAGTGTTTGTGGAGACATGACGTCTTCCATTTTTATGAAAGTCTACGATTTGCTCAACTTGCACAGGTGGAGTTCATCATGTTTGTCGTTTACACTCTTTTCTGAAGTTAGAAGCTGAATCTGACGAGTCGAACAAAGAAATTAAGAAGAACTTATCTGAAGGATGTGAAAATGTTTTTGCATGAGGCTCATGCGACGCTGAACACAGGCACAAAGTTCTAACGTCAGGTGTGAACCTAAAGCAATACAATGCTTTATATGTCTGAGGATTCTCTGTCATCCAGGTCATGGTATGTTCAGTACATGTGATATTTACATGTGTGAATAATTTCATTCAAAGTTTACAGACTGTTTAATCGACAGTGGAAGTGAATCACATGGTGAAAATAAAAAGTTACTGAATCATGAAGACGATCCTGTGAAGATGATCAATATTCACGCCTGGTTTGTTTCAGACCTTCAGGCTCTTCAGTTCGGTCTGAACCTAAATATCAGGTTTGACAGGTTCCTCAGACCAACACACCAACATCTAGTCCGACCAGTAGAGGTGGTCTGGATCAGACTGAACCATGGTTTGGTTCACTTTTAACCAGATTAAGTTGAAACAATCGAACAAAAGACATGGAGCTGGATTCAGACTTTGAGGACAGAAGACCACCTTTAATGTCCTTGTACAGATTTTGTTTCATGTACCCTGCCAGGTGTACAAACCCTGGACCTGGAGGTTTTAACTACAGACCGATAACCATCCTCCATCCGATGCCCTTCTCATCAACAGGTTACTGACATGACTTCTCCACCAGAGTCCTGCTGCTTCATCGTTTGTAGATCCAGGATCACAGCTGCAGCCACATGGTGGATCACAGACTGTGATCATGGACCATAGATCCTGATGGTGTCAGCTGATCCTGGACCATGATCACAACCAAACTTCTTGATACACAACATGTCTCCTCATCTTCTACCATCAGTAACTCCTCAGTTCATGTGTGTGCTCCTTCATCTCTATCAGACATGTTCTCATGTAGAAATGTTTAACTCTGTCCGTCCTGGGAGAGGGATCCCTCACGTGTGACTCTCTCAGGTTTCTACAGTGCGGGTTCATCAAATGGAGGTAAAACCCATTTAACGGCTTCACCACGCTGTCTTGACAGATCAGTGAGTTCACCCGGGCACCATGTCTGATTGGAGCCGATAGTAACCTGCAGAGTCATTTCACCCGAGAGTGAATGACCTTTGAATCCATTCAGCAAAAAGACGGATGTTCGAGGGTGTTGGTGGTTTTTGACCTCGAGCAGCAGCAGCAGCAGCGTTCTGAACGTGTGCTGTGAACACACCATCACAACGTGGGATCGACAGAAGATAAAAATGTGGACAAGTTTGTTCAGGTCCTGCTGAGACAGGAACGTGAAGCAGCTGCTGAGTTTCTGGAAGTTTCTCTGATTAAAACAAAGTAAACATAAGAACGCTCCTGATCCTGATGGTGTTTAGAATCCTGATCGCTCAGGGGGAAGAAACTTTAAGTGGGTTTGACTTTTCACGACTGCTCGGGGGAAGGGTGGAAGAGATCTGTCTTTATGTCAACGACCTTCCTCACTTCTCTTCTGCTCCTGCACTGTAAAAAACAATGTTAAATTGGAGTCATGGTTTCATGTTGACTGATGAAACGTTGTGATCCTACAGTGAGTCATGTGACACAGACCTGTCACAGGAAATCCCCCTTCTCTCTTCTGTTTGATCTCCTTTCAGATTCATGGAGAGTTGATCCATGAAAAATGTTTGTGGCACTTTTGTCTTTAATAGTGAAGGAAAATGTTGGATTTGACTCAACGAGCAGCTTCAATAAAACAGATGAAACATGAAGACTTTTCTTCAGACGTTTAGAATGTGTTTAATGATTCGGTTTCGGTCTGAATATTTAAAATTTCTTATCTTATCAAATATCCTGAGGCGTCACACCTTTTTTAAAAACGTGTTCTCTGTTTATTTTTGTGTTGGAGCCTGAAACGTCTGCAGCTGCTCTGTCAACTCACATTAAACCTCCTTAAACTGCAACACACACACACACACACACACTCACATTCACACACACACACACACACACACACACACACACACACACACACACACACACACACACACACTCTCTCTGAAAACCTGTCATGTGTGTAAATGAGTTGTTGAATCAAAGCAGGAATCTCTCCCGTTCGTCTTCACACACACACACACACACACACAGTAAATGATCTATAAATATAAATGA